CCGCACTTGGGGTAACTTTGTCCTGCATGGAGAAACTAACTGTGAATCGTGTATTTTATGATTTGGGTCAATGTTATACCATACTAGTATATATTATATAATATAGCAAACAAAACTGAACATGTAGTAGTAATCATCAATTTGTTGTTCTAGGTTAACTCTAGTTAATTGATCATTTTTTGATCCTATTGACGACATTTGAATCAAAGAATTTAACATTTCACTACCACTTATGTTACTGCCTTTGGGTGGTTTTATAAAAGAATAGCAAGAGAGCAAACGATAAATTTGTTTGAATTGTAAAGGATCCGGATGTTGATTAGCTCCACAACCTTGTCTTAAATTTCCAAATAGGTGCTTAAAGAGTAAGTAAGAACAATTTATATAAATAAGAAGTAACTTAAGTAATTTCGTAAAAATGAACTAATATATTACTTCATTGTACTTCAACTTACCTCAATATTATCCTGATTAATTCGCCTTGTCATTAATTTAGAGAAACCTACTTTGTTACATAAATATTCTGAAAGTTCTAACGCACCTTTCAGTGATACCAAAAGCCCAGTTTGTGTTTGAATTGTGAATTGGTTCTGTTTGTTTGTAGATGTTTGCGAAGTTTTCAAAAAATCTATGAATTCCTCCACAACCTAATCAAGTAAAATTATAACAAATATCTTATTAATTATTGTAATACATAGATTATGATAGTTTTTTTTTTGTCTTTCTATACATTGTTGCTTGCTGATAAATTACTTCCAAGTCCGTGCATTGCAGTTTTTGAATTCATAATGTTCGCCATTGTATTAATTTTTCTTATGAATTGTATGGTTGAACTACAATGTATAAAATCTGGATGACCTCTGTTCATTAATTCTTCCATACAATCTGCTACGGTACCACTAAAAAACTGAAACGTGCAAGTTAGTCAAATTAAAAAATGTAAAACTAAATTTTACTCTATTTTAAGTCTGTGTTTTATAATACTTTTTATTTATAATATTTGATTTGATTATCTTATTTCTTTACATATTGTAGAATGAATAACTTACTGTGAAAGCCATTTTGACATTCATTGTTTGATAATTTTGAGGATACAAATGGTCATTTTTTAATTTAAAACACAATTTAATGTGTTTTTGTTCATCATATTTGACTAATGATTTCCAATGATCAAATTCAACTTTACCGTATGGAGTCTAAATTAAAAAATGTATGGTAAGCACCTTATTTGGTAATCATTTATAACTATTGTATAAACATATTAATTGTGTTTAGATTGTTAATGTCATAGGTGTACCATGAGAGTCTTGCACTTCAAAATTTTTTTCCATTGTTTTCATCCAATGAGGAAAATCTGACGTGAACCACAATTTTCTAGTTGAATCGACAGGATGTTGACAACTAGCATTACTCTCATTAATATCAAATAGCTTCCACATTACTCTATTCCAAGACCCGCCGTCAGTAACAATATTATGAACTTGGAGTCCTGACTTTTCCAACAATAAGATACTTTCTAGTATTAATTTTTGTAGAATATTACATTTTGCGGCGCCTTTGGTTAAAAATGCTCCTATTGATTGAATCCATGAACCTCTAAGAAGTTGATACATAATTACCAAAGCGTGATCTCCCATTTCATGTTGCTGGCTTTCTGATGTATATTTTCCTAAATCAACTAAACCATCAACTTCTAATGTGGATTTATTACATGATACCGCTGGAGTTAAAGCCATTTCATCCAATAACAAACATCCTAACCAAAGTAATCATTTTAATTAAATAACTATTTAAACAATACATTTCATCATTTTAGAAAATATGTATACCGTGTTTTTTTAAATTAGGGATAAATTTAGCTTTTTCTTCTATCATTTTTAAAATACTCTCTTGAAATCCATAAGAAGGCTATAATTGCTGTATATACCTCTGTAAAGCTGACAGGGATGGTAATGGTAAAATGTTGTCACGTCTAATCTTTTTATACAAAGCTGGTTGTTTGAACCGCACATTTTCGCGACATATATTTTGGCCGGAGATAAACCTGGTCAAAGTCCAGCGAGATCACGACAAGCTTCGGCAATCGTCGTCACCACCGGTGTCGTAATCGCAGCTCTGACTTTGACCTTTGCGACATGTACCAGTCAGTCTTACGAGCACCTCTTGTCTCGCTTCTCGCGGTCGGTGCGTGCTGTGGTGTGTACGAGTGCTTACGCCGATCGTTTTCCCACGCGTCGTCGTCCTGTTCGACCGTTTTTTAGTGTCTCCGGTTATCGAGGGAGCGCCATACGTGTCCGCCGTTGGTGTGTCGGTGACCTGTCTGTCATCGCCGTATGTGTCGGCGCCGTTCGCGTGGCCTTTTCAGTGTTTACGACCTCGTGTGTCGGTTTTTTGTGGCGTGAATCCGTGAACGCCCGTTCTATACCACGTTGCTCGTGGGGAACCAACTGTTGTGTATCGCCGCCGCATTGTTGTGTCGGACTTCGGTCGTCGGGGTGCATGTTGCCGTGTTTCTCGCTAACGCGAACGAACGTTGAGTTGTCGACGCGGGAATCCCCATTGGAGGTCAACGGACCCATCGCGCGTCGTCTCACGTCGCCGTCTTGGTGTTGTCGTGTCCGGTGTCGAACAGTTCCGGGTGGCAGCACTGCGGTTCGTATCAGCAGTATCAGTTACCAGTCGGCGTTATCATCAACACCGGGTGACATAGACCCA